GGTTTTACCAGTGTAACTAATTTTCACATGTCCTTCAGGTGAATAGGAACTTAAAGTAACTTTTAAGACCTCAGTTAATACTTTGTGTTCACTGGTTACGTTTTCCCTTCAAATACCTTATTCTTGAATCACTATTAACTGTGAAAACTAGTTGTGTGAGGAATATTAAGGAAAACTAACCAGTTTTTAAAAAATCTACTTTCTAATCAAAAGGACTTCAAATGATAGGTAATCTGTAATTAAAGGAATAAGCCCACTTTAGTGGTCAGGTTTCCGAGAAAGAGTTGGTACTGTTTTCAGTTTAGGATAAAGATAATTTTAGGAAATAATCTGAATCTGATGTTGCATTAGGTTTTACCCATTACTCGCAGCCAAGATAGGAAGGAAAAGATCGAAAATTTGATGATGATGATGATTCCTGAAATGCCTAAAATTGTTTCCATTCTGAAGGCTTACAAATAAAATATTAATTAGTCTCACTGATTTAAATAGAATGAACCAGTTGCAAAATGATTTACAAATCGTATAATTCGTGTTGGTATTTCTTACGGCTGCCTGGTTCTTCAACTGCCTAACTGTCATGTGAACAGGGTTTCCATCAGAAATCACCCCGTAGCCAAGATCATAAGCAGTGACTCTTGATAAATTAGTAAGAAGATTCATGAATTATCAAAATATATTACTGAAAATCATCAGTGGTCAGAAACCACTCAGAATGATCTGTAGATTTCACCAGGCAATCAGATCAGAGTGGCCTAAATAGCATAGGGCCGTTTCATTCGTTTATGACAGAGCTCATCAGCAGGGTATCTAGACAAACCCGGGTCATAGAGCCAAAATGTTCAAACCTACTGAAACTGACTAGCTGATTTAGATGAATCGGTTACCTTCTAAATTAGATGAGCAATTTTCAAATGATTTACAATTGATCCGAATAGTTTGACTGTATGAGATGAATGTGTCTAGGTACCCTGCAGATGAGCTCATTCAAAAACGAGTAAAACAGCTATCTGGTATTTTGGACACTCTAATCTAGCTGTCTGGTGAAATCCACAGATCATTCTGAGTAGTTTCTAACTACTCATGTTGTTCATTACTATCTCATCTAAGTCAACCAAACAAAATTTTCTTTTTTTCGAACTGTTGACGTTCACTAATTGCTCATATATATATATATATATATATATATATATATATATATGTATACGACACTACAGATTAATCCAAGAAGTCATTCCTTTTTTACCTATGGAATACGTTTTTCGTCAACTAAGCTAAACTTGGTGTAAGGGAAAATACTCGTCAATGAAATCATTTTAACTAAGCGATAATTTCTGTAAAATCTGTGAATTATTTTCAAAGTATCTAGTGCATGATTTCGTTTAAGAGTGGAAAAATTAGATGTCTTTCCTAAAATATATTAAGCTTACTTAGGTTGGGAACAAGCATTAGAAACATTCATCTCCCGATACAAATGTACACCAAGCATCAATATGAAAAAAGTAGGATTTAGTGAATTCATAAATTTTAGTCAAATTCGTCAGGTAGATATTCTGTATAGTTCATCATAAATACCTTAGGGCAGTGCGGGAAAACACACATAAGTACATAACATGTATTCAGACATTAAATGAGTTGTAGTAATCTAGAAATATACTAGTTTTGTAAGTCAGGCGGATATGCTAAACGTAGAAGTGGATGTTCAAATTCAGTAGTTTGAAGATGAATCATTTCGTTTCTAATACAGATATATTAGATAATCATACAAGAAGTGCGATATTATTGTAAGGTTAAATAATCACGAAGATTTCGGGGTGAAAATCGATGACAAAAGTAATAACAATGTTGATTTTTGGATGAAAAGTGAATAGTTTGAAGACAAATTACGTCATTTAGAACATAGCAGTTAGTGGTCAATTGCGACGCCTGGCTGGCCCCCACAAGAAAACCAGCTGTAACAATTGTAGTCAAAATAAGGTTAGTTGAACGAAACAAACAAAGAGTGGACCGAAAATGGCAAGAAAGTTGTAGTAATTCAGAAAAAGGAGCAGGTAGGAAAGAACAGATATAAATGAACCACTTTTTAATTACCACCACAAAAGATTCAAACTAACTACAGTTTCCTTTTACACACAGAGGTTTGGTTCACTAACTCGGATCGCATTGACCTTTGCAACATCTAGTCATCTGACTACCTACCGTTACCCGTCAATACCACTTCCATAGCTCATTATATGTTTTGTTGTCGAGCTTTCTGGAGCTTTCTTCTCCGCTTGCTTTAGCCATCAAATTCGGTGCTCAACCATTATGGTAGACAGGTGTCTGTCCACATGACCGATGTATTTACTTCCACAGAAACATCTGAATTTTCATTTGCATTTAGGTGTTTTGACGAAGTCGAATATGCTTGAATGTGTAAGTTATCGGACGCTTGCAACAAACTACTAACTATGATTTATATCTTATCAGATTATACGTTAAAGTCGATGGAATCGTTGCTGTCTTTCTACTTAACGACTTACTTGAGATATTGTGAAAATAAATACACAGGTGTATACTGTTACTTAGAACATATCACATATCTTCTTTCCATGGGGTGCATTTATATACCAACCTTTAGAATAAATCCACTGAGACACTTTGTCAAATCTGTCTGCAATGCAAGTGAAACTTATTCATTTCTACCTCCCTTTTCTCAAGGACTAGATGATGTCTACGTATCAAAAAAATTTTAGTACTGCATGATATGAGCACACAAGTGAGTGGAAATAATGATATGATTTAAGAACAGACTATTCTGATGCAATTACTCGAAATCAAAATGAGATTAATAATTCTCTGAAAAAGGAATACCCATTTCTATTTCTCTAACTAGGTTCATCGATATATATATATATATATATATATATATATAGAGAGAGAGAGAGAGAGAGAGAGAGGGTAGACGTGAACTTGTCTGTGGGACCGGTCAGTCAAAATATGTTTATAGCTTATCTTAAACAGTGATTAGTTAGATGACATCAAAAGAATGAATAACATAAAAGATGTATCATAAATTGTGTAGGAATATATTCAAGGAACTGAATACCTGAATAGGCCGACAAATTTACACACATTTACAGTGGAAGGTGTTTCCACTTGAAGTTCTGGGCACATCCCAATAAATTTGCCTTTGATAGGAACCATTGTTCAAACGAGTTTATTTACCAGATATATTATTATTAATGACCAGTATTTTGAAGCTTGTGACACCTTTCAAAAATTAAACATGCGATAAATGCAAGCAATACCTTACTTTCCCAGAACGATTGCTATCAGTGCTTCTTAAGCAGACTTATGCACACAATTAGTGAGTATGATTGACCTCCCATGCCCGTTGTAAATGTATTTTGATCTTGCTTTATTGTCACTGCACAATCCTTCAGCTTAGTTTTCTGCTAAACTTGACTCACTGAGTCAATTTTATTCTAATGAACACTTGATATTTCCTATGTTACGCAATCCTCAAACCCACACGACTCGCTTCAATTCTTTGTATTCCTTTCTCCCTCCCTCTTCGAAACCCTTGAATTTTTACCTTTTAAATGATTTATAAATAAGAAGTGTTTAATGAGCTATGGTTTTCGGTATTCAACTCCCAAATATTTTGAATTCCTTAGTTTACATCTTATGTATTACTCCAGCCTTCACAGCCACAGTTAGCTTTTATTATTCTTATTACAATGGCAACCTTACGTACTTTGTAGCTCATAGTGAGTCTTCAGATAAGATGAATAACTTGACTCTGTAAATCTGATCTCGTTTGCTTTGTTCAGAATTACCAATGGAAACAAATGTACGAGAGTCTTCTGTGAGTCACTAATAAGCTTTCACCTACATAAAGCATTATAACTGAAGACCCCTTAGAGGAAGATAATGTATGGCCTGTAATATAATCATTCTTGGTTTGACTTTCTGATTTAGACTTGGCTTAGCAGATTTGTATTGATATTGGGTGATAACTGAAGGTGAAATTAAGATCTGGACCACCGCAGGATTGTAGTCAGCAAACTCTGGGTTACCGGTCCGCTAGTCTACCTTGGTGGTTGAAGTGGAATTAGGATCTGGTCAGCTCCCGTGTCTCGTAGCTCAGATGACAGAGCACAATGCCTGTAACCCAGAGATTGCTGGCTTAAATCCTGCCATGGCCCAGATATTCATTTCACCTTTAATCACCACCTAGTCAGTACCAGTATAATCACCCGTTATTAATATACCCTTTTACCTCATACAGCTAAAAAATGTTGACAAATAACTCATTATTGTAAACCACGTTAATCGTTATGCCATTGTTCGTAGATTACAAAATAACATAACTTCAGAATACTAGTCTTCTGAATTTCTTATTGAAAAGTATGTCAATCCATTTAATCTTTCCTATTGAGTAATATCTTCTTTGGAGTTTTCAAGTAACAACTATCTGCATTGCTAACTAATGACTATAAAATCAAAGTTTAACCAAACAGTTTTCCACTTTAAAAACCAGACGTCTAAGGTTTTGCATGGTTGAAGTGTGACAAAGTTTAAATCAAGTAGAAAATGAAATTAATTGACAAACCAAATAAATACTTTGATTTGCAAAAACTAACACATTATAAAACTTCATGAACCCTAATAAATGGACATATTAGATATCTGAAGATGATTTTCAGGGTGGAAGAAGTTTACCAATAGTTTCTTGTATGTACGGTTCAGTTTCCCTCAGATTTCCTAATGAAATACAGAATGCTTCTGTATAAAAGTCTCAGGAAAATCTATGAGTTGATTTCATCCTTTTTTGGTACTAAACTACGTACAAATATCTCAACCATTCCTCAGAAAGAAAATATTTGATGACTCGCAAAAATACCCACTTAAATTTGATAGCCATTTTTTCCAGCTATATATACGTCTAGAGTTTAACTAGTTCTTAAACTGACAACGCAAGCAATTTAAGAATCAGCATGTAATTAGACGCTTACCTTTCAAACTGCCAGGTTCCCCTGGAGGTCCACGAAACCCTCTTGCACCCTGCGGTCCTGGTGGTCCTTGTGGACCGGGTGGTCCAACAGGCCCCCTACCACTTCGTACGGGGATACGTACGCGACCAGTAACATGACTGGTAGAAAAATTCATTAAAGACATTTGTTTACTGTTGGTACTATCCATATCTGTGGAACATTCTAACTGCAGTTGGCAGTTGGTTAGCTCATTATTCAGTGTACTCAATTTTGAAGGCTTTCCTGACTGATGACTTCTGTCTTTAGAATTGTATTCTGGGAAGTTAAACTGTGAGCCTATAAATGTGTCGGCGGAATGCTGTTTTGTATAATCTTGTCCAGGAGCATATGACAGTATACTTTTATTATTGCTTAAACGGTTATTGTTACTGTGTAATCCAGGAGCAAGTAATTTTGATTCTTCACTGAATATGACACAAAACTTATCAAAAAAGAGAAGTAAGGCTTGTAAAAGAACAGTTGACTGAACGGAGCAAAGATGATGTTTCATTTATATAAGTAGACAAATTATTTTGAAATTAAATAATTTTTGTCGACTTATATTAGTGTTTTCGGTAGAGTAACTACTTGCTGTTCTTAGTAGTGAGGTGAAACAATGAGAAAATGTTCCAGTGAATTTTTCGAGTTTTGATGAATTGTATATGAAAGTGAATTGTGACAAAGGTTATCCTAGTTGTTGTTCTCTCAATCCTCAAAGTGATTGGATAAACGCAATACATTCATCATGTCTATAAATGAATATTTGCCTAGAAATAACTGCCTGTCTGTGTGTACGTATAAGTCTACAAGATTTTAAAGAAATGAGTTTATCATTGGTGGTATTGTATGAGCGGAGAACAAATACACTTTTCTAAAATAAATGGTGAAATGAGACTTTATTTGTAATCCCTATTATTTCGTTAATAAGAAGTCCTGTTAACCAAAAATCTGGTTTTCTAAAGTTTTCGAATTATTGTATGCATTTGAAGGTTACTTATAAGTTGTTTGTAGTCGTGGAATATTTAATCTGTCAGTATTTTCACTCACTCCATTAGCAAGTCATATTCCACATTCTATATATTGTTTGTCCAACTCCAAAGACAACTTGGATTCCAGTTAGCTGATTCCTGCACGTCATAAGACAGTGTATCACCCTTTATACTCATCTCAGTCAGAAGCTACAATGTTTCACCCAAAACTTCAAGAAAAGTCATTGAACTGGTGGGATACTTTCTCACAGTTTCACTGAAGTCTTGAATAAAAGCAGATCATATTAACCTAGCATGACTTAACTGTAAAAATGGTAGTTTACCTTTCAAATAATTCATCGGTAAAGTTTTCCAGTAATGTGGTGAGGAGTTATAGACGATCTTAAATTTTTAAATAAAACCTGCCATGAAGTGTCGGTCAGTCCTAAAGTCCTATATCAAAGCTTCTTAGAGATACATTCGACAAACACTAAATAACGTACAATGTTGAGATAAATTAATCAGACTAAAAGTCAAAAAGTACGAACTACTTAATATGTCGACAAGGCATTCACTGCAGCTTACAGTGATTGTTGTCGTATAACCAGTCACCATACTGAATGGATACTAGGCAACCAAATCCCATTAGTCAATTTAACCATGATATTCATACGATTATCTTCTCAGAAGTATTAAAAGAAGATTACTGATACCTAAATACACCTATAGCTGTGGTTTAAAATTGTGAAAAGTGATAGATATCCAACATAAAGTTATTCCAGTGGTTGGTCTGAAATTTGAATAAAACACGATTTTCCCGTCCTTCATTTGGCGTTCACTGATGAGTCACATTCCTGTTTTCAGATAGTTAAGTCACTAGACAAATAGGTTTACCGCATAGTCGTGCAATTCTTCATCAAAAGCAGTAAGAAGTATCGAAGAAAAGTACTTACCTCCTAGAAATGGTAGCTAAAAAGATAATGTATTAGGATCCAAAAGCACCCACTTCTTATGGGTAACAAATAGTCTCTTTTACGAGAAGATAATGACCATTTGAGCAAGGTGATGTTTTCGTGCAATACAATTCAAATAATCTGAACGCATAATTACTTATCACTTTTATCAAAGGCTCTCATGTAGTGGAAGCCAGTCTCCTTCAAGGATCCGGATCTTGACTGGACTGGATCATGCAACAAATTGTGGGGAGTGAGAAGATGGACATACGCTGGCTGGACAGATGAAAAGACAGTAGAAAGTTTGGATTCCACCGATAATGATGATTTATGTCCAATGTCTTGTCGCACGAACTCGATGATCTACAGGCGAGAACTAACAAGTTGATAGGTGAGGCAGGGCAGCGAATACGAGACTTCACGTGAATGTAGATAAGACAGAGGTGGAGTTGATGAAGATACCCAACCAACAATAACAAGCAGCAATCATCATTGATGGGGAAACTGTAAAGGCAGTTGTCTCTTTCACCTACCTATATAGGCAGCATCGTTTCAACTACAGGCGGTGGCACATGCACAGATAAGGATGTCAAATCAGACAGGATCGGAAAGATAGTAAGACAAGCCTTCACCAATCTGAAATCAGTGTGTGGATCTACCACACTGCACTGCATTGAGCATAAAGAACAAGATCTGGATTTCCAACAATAATTCAGTCAAGTAAGTCAGTGCTTCTATATGATGGTTGAGAGACTTGATGCGTTACGAAAAGCATTTCCAACAAACTTCACACATACATCAACAACTGCCGTCTACGCTCACTCGATACTGAGGATCAGATGACCAGAATAATAAGAATAAGCAACAAGAAACTCTGGTTGACTGGCAACTAACCAACGAAGTAAGAACCTATCACCCGACAAATATGCAGCAGAAGAAAGTGGAGATGAACTGGACTTGACATACACTGAGAAGTCCGATTGGGAACATCATGCGTCGGGTCTTCGAGTGAGATCCAAATGCGAAACGACGAGTTGGGCATCCGAGGTGAGGGTGACATGTAAGAGATCGTGTGAGGAAGAAATGGAAGCTTTAGGTCAGTAGCGGAGCCAGGTTGAAAACACTGCAGAGAACAGAGTACATATGAGATGTGTTACTGATGCTCTATGTTCCACTTGGAACCTAGTTAAGAAATAATAATAACAGTAATATTTATTCTCAGGATTCACTAGGCGATAAGCACCATCAAATCACTCGGGATTTATTTAGAACGATGATTATGGCATAATGTTTCGTGAAACGATATCTTCATTAAGCCCTTATTTGTTGTCAATCAAAACTCGTCAGTCAACGAATGCTTTTAGTATAGTAGTCAACGATGTGTTTTTAAAAAATAATTTACTCCTCGTAGAAGTACTTTTCATCACGGACTGACATCAGTCGTGAAACCATTGGAAGCCTGGGAGCACTTAACAACTAGTTCGTCTTCATAGTATGGGACTCCTCAGCAGTACACATCCAACTGGTGTCAGTCCATGATGAATACTACCTCTAAATTAAAATCCTCATTCACTTCCGAAGAAGTATTTTATGTGAATGAGAAAACAGATTGGCAGTAGTTATTACATAAGGGATACTTTCCCGCTGATTCATTAACGATGGGGATAAATACAATAGTCAGCATTTTCTGAAGGTTAATTTGTTTTCAGTTGTGAACTTCCATGAACTCATAAAAGACTGAGTAGATAAATATCAGATCTAATGGCAAACACATTATCACTTACCTCGTGCACTGAAACTTCATGGTTTACACTTCACTACTTCTGCTTATTTGAGATCTGGTGTAATCAGTATTCTGTGTCATCAGTGTGCATCCATTCTCATCTTTTAAAAAAGTTTCCAGAGTACAGTACTAAATAATTCTAAACTAGAGTAGAACAACTTTCTGGCAGTACCATATTTTCATTGGTTATTCAACTCTTATCAATCTACGGAGAAAAAATACTTTGAAACGATCAGGATAGCTGTCAATGTACCGGCAGCGACTGATTTATCTAATCTGAAGTAGATCTACCGAGAAAAGGCTGATGTAATAGGTCATTTCGTTTTGAAAACCGCTACATAACACGTGAGATCTCTTTAGATAGACAACTTCAGCATCTCTAAAGTGTATACCACAAGGCCAGTCACTTATTGATTGTTCACAATGCAACTGATCACAACTCATATTAATAAAGTGAAACTGAGGCCTGCTTAGCAACTAGTTCTGTCAGTTCAGCAGTTAAGGCAATAAGCTGGTAACCTGAACCTCCTCAAATTCAATTCTGTCTCCATCCAGATATCACCTTAACTTCAACTAGTTTCTTCTATGACGGCAGTTAGAGGGGAAAGAGGAAACTTATCCAAAAGACAATGATATATACTTCTATTTTATCAGCTTGTGCTATGTTTACTGTTTAATCAAAAAGCGTGAAAATCAAATTTATCGTACATAGTTTATTCGTCTACAAATTTACTTTTAGAAGTAATGGATGTGGAAGAATAACTGAACAAAGGGATGGACATAACACTCCAATCTATACTTAATATATTTAATAAAGAACTCAACTTTAAGATAAAAGAAGTGAAGGTAATGCATTAGAATGAAGAGAACTGGTGAACCACAACCGTGAATATAATTGGAACTGTCAAAATTCATCCAACCATGAAACATTTAAATGTGATTCAGTGGATAACTAAGTATATGTATATTCACTGGATAACAAAGATTTTTGAAAGCAATTAGCTTTGTTCTACTGGGATAGTCATCAAGGAAAACTTACAACTTCATTTACAACATCTTTTTGAATGTGTGTCAAACAAATATCCAGAAAAATAATTTAAAATATTCTGAATAGTAGTGCCTAGACTTTGAGATTATCCAGTCCCTGATAGTGCACAACTTGATTTCAGAGTATTTTTATAAACTTACTTCTTTCTAAGACAAGAAGGATAGAAAATGCAAGAATCTGTTTTCTTCAGATGCGTGAAAATAAACAAAACTACTTTGAGAAAAAATGGAGTTCACGGTTACTTACACAAGACTGAAAACACTCACGTGTATTCAGTATTTTCCTTATTTACATATATGAAAACATTCTAATGAAAACGAAGTATTATAAAAACCATTCCACTCACTAAGTGGAACTAAGTAAATTGGATTGTAACTTAAGTAACTAATAAACACGAGGGTCATCTAGTGCAACAGGAATTTCTTATTCACTTATTTCTTTTCCCTTAGAAACGAGTACGTTGCCTGCACCGCTTGTAAGACGCGCTCGAGGACACTACCCAGTCTGGGTAGCTAAAGAACAGAAATTCATCTTCACGCCGATAAGAGAACACCTTGTGAATCCATCTCACCCAGTTTCTTCTGAGAACTCTTTCATAATCCTGGACAAAGTTCAGTCAAATCACTCAAAGGGGGGGAATCGAGGTATTTGGGTATGGATGAAACAATAACCATCCAGAAGTTCAACCTAAATCGGTTCCTGAAGAAACTATCTTCAAACTTTTTTCTTGACCATCACCATCAAAAAACCCTGATTGTTCTTAATAAATCCTCTCGTAAGTAATTGTATTTATTTTCATTATCACTTGTTTATCTTCCTACTCAACACCCTTACTTGTATTTTGACTCCTGACAAGAAGTAATTCTAGAATGTCCTACCGTTTATCGTATACACCTGTGAATTCG